AGAGCACCAGGGTCAGGGCCAGGGCCTCTGCCTGCACACACACTGAGCGCTCATTCCTGAGCAGGTGGGCCTCGCAGCCTTGGGGTCCAGCCTGGAGTCCTCTAGGGGTGCTCAGAAACGAGCAGCCTGGCCTGGGGGCAGGCAGATGAAACAAGGTCCCTGGGGAAGTACTGCACCCCCCACCCCTCAAGAGGCTGACCTCTGCTGCCCACCCCATGGGATAGACAGACAGAGGGGCAGTGCTTAAAATCTCCCCTCGGTGGAAAGTCAAAAAGAGGCAGTGCTGGGTCTGAACAGCTGCAGCTTCTGACTCCTGGTCTGGGTTTTCCTTTGGACCCCTTGGGCCTCTGGGCTTAAGCCAACTTTCTCAGAAGACTTGAGGCAGGCCCAGCAGGTGAGTGACCCCAGGGCAGCCACAGGACAGGCGTGTGCTCTCTCCAGAGGGGACAGGGGAGGGGTGGGTCTCAGGACACGTTCACAGCAGGGGCCTTGAACCTTGAGGGACCAGTGTGCCATCTTTCAGTGGGGCAGAAAGCTCACAGTACATGATGCCCACGCTCCTGACCTCAGGCCTAGCAGCTCCTGAGAATTCCCATAGGGAGCTTGAGGAACAAAAGGTCCTCCTAAGAAAATCTTCAATTCCGTTGTTAGAAAATACATGTTCCCTAAAAACCATTACAATAACTACATTCAAAAAACGGCTGTCACAGGAAGTACAATACACATCTTTGAAGAGCTTCCATCTTGGCCCCTGTTGCCTAGGTCCAGGTTCAAAGCTCTAATCTAATGGGCCCTATGACCCATGCCTGATTTTTAACAGCGTCTGTGTGCACCCCAGTGCCTCTGTCACCTCCTGTGTCCTCCTCCTTGCTGGGGTTGGGGAATGACTTATTTCTCACCTCTCTTATCCTCCTGCCTAGCCAGGCACTAGAGTCTCACTGGCAACTCAAAAGCTTTCCTGGGACTTTAGTCCAGCGGTATGGAGACTATGGAATGCCCACTCCTGTCATTCCGGTGCCACCAGCCTGTCCCGGTCCTTTCCCATACTGCTCCCCAGAAAACATCACCCACTGCTGTGCTTCACAGAACAGCTGGCACCAGTCTAGCACACCCAGTTAACCAAGGGCCGCACAGCAGAGCTCAGAGGACCCAATGAGGCATCTCTCCCTATTTTACAAGGGAGGACACTGAGGCTCTGGGATTGACATCACCTGCCCAAGGTCACCCAGGTGATGAGTGGTGGAGGTGTGCCCAGGCTGATGGGCAGGTGGCTCACTGGGTGAACAGAGCAGCCCTGAAACCCAGTGAGGAACAGTTGTTCCCCACAGCTGGTGGGGACATATAAAGCTGAACAATCCCCAGCTGCTCAAAGCATGGTATCAGCTGGGATCAGGGTCCCGAGAAGCTTAGCGAAGAAACCAGTGATGCCCCAAAGAGTAAGCTCACTGTTTGCTGGGGCAAGGAGGGGTTACCCCCACACAGGGGCAGGCCAGGGCAAGGGTGTGTATGCTCTTTGGCTGATGACCTAAGGGGCTCAGCCTGCGGGTTCTCTGCTCACAGAGCCCCCGGCAAGAACTTCTGGCCTTACCTTTCGGGAAGGTCAAGTTTAGTTTAGAGACTTTCTTGATGAAGACATCCCTAACTCCACCAAAACTGGCAAGGGAAGCTGGGGAGGCTCTGACCCACAGTGGTTGGGATCAGGATCACCTGGCCTCCTGGAGAAGCCCCAGGCTGGGTGGACACCGAGGCTGGCCCAGGCACAACAACCCATTATTAACATGTTATCTGCACCTGGCATGATGCTGCTGCCAGCCGCCAGGTGGGAGGATAAAGTGAGGGCCATGTGGGGAAGTCCCTGCAAAGTGGCAAGCCTCAGCTAAAACCAGGAGGATGGCAACTATGATGAGGATATAAGCCCCACACTCTGAGGACTTTCCTTCTAAAACAACTATGTGGGGAGACCTAAAGACTGCACCCGCTCAGCTTGCAAGGTCACCCCAAAGTCTATTTTCCCCATATACACTTTTGAAAAATAATGTAAAAATTTTATTAAAAAGGGATTCATAAAAAAGTAAAACACCAACCCCATTTCTGGAATTAAAGGGTTTCTGATGCTGCCCACGGCTGCTGAGCTAGGCAGTGGGGAAGCCAGGCAAAGCTCAAGCCACTCCTCTCTACTGGCTCACTCAGCTTCCTGGCTTCCAGGCCTTTCCTTTACAGAGGAGCTGCTGAAGGAGTCACCCTAGGAAGGACTGAGATTGAGTCCCTGACCCTCAGACTGATGCCAGACAGGCCACAAACATCCACAGAGGTGACCTCGCCACATGGGGCCATACCAGCCTGTTGAGCAGGAAGGCTGGCTTTGAAGACTGTGAGCCTCTGTAAAAGGGTGTCCTACCCAGGGGCTGGAGGCTCTGTGACTCACTCAGAAAACATCCCTGACACCGCCCACTGCATCCCCATGGCTCTCCCCTGGAAGGATGTTCTGCAGGATGGAGGCCTGAAGGACCCGGAAGGCAGCTTCCCTCTAAAGTAGACTTCCTCGTGGGGGAGGGAAGGGGTAATGGCGGGGATGGAGGAGAACAGCACAAATCACATGGATGACTCTGTAGTAGGAATCAGTGTTGGGGTGGCTGGGCACCCCACCCCTCTAGAACACAAAGGCTCTTCAGGACTGGGCAAATGGTGAGGAGTGCTCGCTGATGGGGTGGCACCTGAGACCAATATCCATAGAACAAGTAGGAAGCCCAGCTGAACAAGCCGCTTGGGAAGATGGATGGTGGTGGACGCCTGGCACTAAGCTTCAGGGGAGGGCCGGGTCAGTCTGGACCAACAGAGGGGGTCTGCTGTGGGCCTGCCTCTGCTGGGCCAATGCCAAGGGAAAGGCACAGGGAAATTTTCAGACCCTGGTGGAGATCGCTCTGGCTGTGGCTGGAACACCTCAGCTAAAGAAAGCCCCAACTCCAGGAGATAAAGGAGGGCCTGGAAGACAACCAATAGCCAAGCCCGAGGAGAACTGGGCAGGATTCGCACAAAGGCACTATGCACGGTTCTGAAAATGGGTTGAACTTTAAGGCCTCAGCTGGCGCTTCATCTGTGGAACTCTAGTTTCCTTGGGACACATTGAGTCCATTAAGAACATTCCTCACTTTGTAGCATCCAGAAACACAGACATTGTCAGTTTCGCAAAGCAGGTGACTAGCTGATATTGTTGGCATCTGGTTGGGGGTGGCCTGCTGTTTGGAGTTGCAAACAGGCTGAATGGTGTGAGGTAGGACCAGGGTGTCACAGAGGGATTGAGACATCCAGACACCCCGACATGGGCCAAATGCCACAGGCCACAGGCCAGCCTTCACTTATTCTCTGTGATGCAAGTTTCTTAAAAGTTACTATCATACTCCTAACTGTGAACACATAACAAAACCTTCCATGTGCACCCCTAAAACACAGTGACAGGAAATGTTTTTAGTGTTATACTCCTCTGGATCCAACGAAGCTATTTTTAACCACCTTCTCAGACTTAATTTCCAATTTTACCCTATAAAGTTCTAATTGATTCCACCTCCCCTAATCTCTCACTTGACGAGGCTGTGAAAAACATTAGGCAGTTGCTGACGGGTTTGAAGTGGGGCGGTTTTTTAAGTCTTTGCATGCTGCTCACATCTCTCTCAACACATGCCTTCTTCTCGGCTTAGCAGGCTCTCAGCAAGGTCTATACACGGTGCCCTGGAGTCCCACAGCCCCCAGTCATGACAGCTGGCCTTTCCCATCAAGAGTGCTTTCTTCAGTGGGCCCAAGGTGTGCTGTCCTAGCTGGGCTCTGATGACACATCCTGCAAGAGCTTTTCTCACTTAGCCCATTATCCCAAGCTGGGGAAAGGATACCATGCCATCTCAGCTCCATTTCCGTTAGTGACATCAAGGGTCCTTCGTGTCCTCCATGTGAGCTGGACTGGAAGCCACTCTTCCTGGCTCCACACCCCCCATCCCTTTCTCTTTTCCTCGTGGGCCACATGTGTCCCTCATATAGCCTCGCTCTATCCATGTGCTGGCATGGCAGAGGAGGATCTGCAGAGTCCCAGCCTGGCCTCAGGAGCCAAGGACACGAGGCTAAATCCTGCCTTGCCCCCAACCCCACCACCACATATCCACATGCCAGCCACCTGGAGCTTCGCTCATTCGCTCATGCCCATGGCCTTTCCAGAGCCGTAAGCAGGCCACTCCCTCTGCCAAGACCACTCTTCCTCCCTCGAGTGAGATGGCCCTGCCGGCATGCCCCTAGTGCTGGCCACCACCTCTTGTCAGGACATTCTGCCCTTACTGAAAATGCTGCACAACGAGCTTGTGTTATGGCTGCCAACCTACGCTCCAGAGGGCAGGCCCCATATCCATCTCAGTGATGAGGGTGGTCAGGGCCACAGCTAACATTTATTGAGCCACTACCTAGAGCCAGGGATGGGCCAAACATTTCCCAGATTCATCTCCCTTAATTCTCACCATGAACATGGCAGCCAGAGCCCACAACCACCAGCACATTACAGATAAACATACCAGGGCTTGGAGAACTAAAGGGATTTCCCCAAGGTTTCTCAGAGGATATAGAAAGGGCCAGGCTCAAACTCAGAGCCTAGGCTCTCAGAAACCCTGACTCACTACTCAGTTCCCTGGTATGCCCCTACAGTGCCCATCTAGCAAAGAGTGGGAGGAATAAATAAACACGGTGTTAATTTCAAAGCTCTGCAGCAGCCCACGTCAGCTCTGAGTGAGCACACTCCAGTAGGACCTAGCATTGGGGATTTTGGAATCTAGTGGCCTGGCCAGGGCTTGGATGGCTCCAAGAGCCAGGATCCCCAGGAAGGCGCTGCAATGTCATTAATCTGAACTGGAAAACAGGTCCATTATAATTATGTTTTTTAAAAATCCAGCACCTGTTGGCCAACTTCAAAGGGTCCAAATGCGGGATCAAGTATAGATGACGGGAGAACCCACAGCGCGGCCTACCTGAGTGAGGACATCCAGCTGGCCCACGATGTGCTCCAGAGTGCTGGTCAGCGTCTGGGGCATGCTCACGGGCTCCTGGGGCTGGCTCTGCACAGACTCCACACTCCTGCCTCTGCCTGAGGGGACAGGGAAGTCCACTTCTGGCTAAAGACAGAGAGAAAAAAGTCCCTCAGTCTATCCAATGCTTGGAGAAATACTGAGAGGAACAGCCCCTCCAAAGGATTAAAGGGAAAACCACCAGCAAACTTGAAAAGGTAAGCTCCAAGGGTCAGGGAGAAACGGCAGTGTGATGGCATTCCCACATCTGAGTCCACACGCCCACCTTTCCAGGCAGAGGCCATAAGTGAGGTATAGAATCAGAACGCCCAGTGGTCCAGGCAGGAAGGGGCCTGAGGAGGTGGTCAGGTGGGCCAGTGAGTGGCCTCAGCCTGTTCTTGGAGGCCTGCAGGGAGGCTGGCTACCTACCATCTCTACAAGCAGCTGGCACCCACCACCAGGCATCCAGGAGAGTCCAGAGATGCTGAAGCCTGGCCTGGGCCTGAAGTCCCTCCTCTTCCTGGTCAGCTCAACTCTAATTCCCCACCCTCCATGGGGATGCGCCAGGCTTCACAAATGCCTCTCCCAGGGCCCAGGAGCTATGGCCCAGAACTTGGTGGGAATGTGGGTGGTAGTGAGAGAGGGGTGTTCCAACCCCACCCCAGCCTAGATCCCCTAGAAAAACAAAGATTTCTGTGTGCATGTCCCAGGCTGGCAGGAATCAGAACTCACAGGACAGGCACCCCTGGGCTGCTTCAGATAGTACTCCAGGAGGTGAGGAGCTTAGTGTTTCTGCCTAAGGCCCTTCAGCCCCCAAATTCAGAAAAGTCAGCCCCTTGCTCTATGCACAAAGGCTTCTGTGGACCTAGGAAGTGCTGTGCATATGTTCAGTGGGCAGGATCCTAGAGCCATGGGTGTCCAAGGGCAGGGCTGCCAGATGCCCCAGTTCTGGTCTTAGCACCCGCAAGTCCTCTGTGGACTTGCTCCCTGTGGGAATGCAGCTCAGCACGTGGACCCTACCTGCATGTTTTCCTTTATTAGGTAAGCATTCTATTCTCATAGACCACAAATTTTCAAGGGCATGCTGATTTGAACTTGGAAAAATGCAGGCCCTCATGGTGGCTACAGGAGAACTTCAATGAGACATGAGCCAGAGGGATGTTCTTGAGAACATGAGCAGCACCATATCCACACGCCTATTGCCAGCATGTCGGCCACTTCTGTGGCCATTTCATAAGACTTTGGCCATCAGGGCTGGGTCTCTTCCAGTCCTTCAGGAATCAACGTGCTTCAGATCTCAATGCTTACCAAGAAGCCCATCCCAAGGCCAGGCGTGGTGGCTCACGCCTGTAATCCCAGCACTTTGGGAGGCTAAGGTGAGCAGATGCAAACAGAAAACACTGTATAAATACAGGCCAGGCGTGGTGGCTCACGCCTGTAATCCCAGCACTTTGGGAGGCCGAAGCAGGTGGATCACCCGAGGTCAGGAGTTCGGGACCAGCCTGGCCAACATGGAGAAATCCCATCTCTACTAAAAATACAAAATTAGCAGGGTGTGGTGGCACATGCCTGTAATCCCAGCTACTCGGGGTCTGAGGAAGGAGAATCGCTTGAATCCGGGAGGCGGAGGTTGCAGTGAGCCGAGATCGAGCCATTGCGCTCCTTCCTGAGCAACAAGAGTGAAACTGTCTCANAAGAAGAAGAGAAAAGAAAAAAAGAATCCCATCCCAAAAGGAAATTTCAGAAGCCCAATAGCCCAGCCAGGATAGACTTCAGCCCAAGACAGTGGCCCCCAGACTAAGGCAGTTCTGTCAGGAGACACAGCAGAGTTCAGTGGTGAAGGCTGGTGACTCAGATAGTCACTGACCAGCTCTGGGCCTCCACTTCTTCATCTACTAAATGGGGATGATGACTGGGCCAGTCCTTCAAATGGCTGGCCTGTAAGAGGCGCTCACTGGAAGCCACCAGCAGGCCTTTCTTGAGAAATGTTCAGTGCTGTGCCCATTCCTTCCAGAGGACCCCCTAACTTGTAGACACGCACACTCTTCCACTGGAGGAAGGGTGTGAGCAGACAGCTCTTCTGTCCCACAGCCAGCACTGTCATGGAATGGGCCAGAGACTGGTGCTGCTGGCTGCCTAGGAAGGAGGGAATGGAAAATCTGAGTGTTCCTGCAGAATGGCCCAGAAATGGACAGCGCTGAGCTCAGCCTCTGGAAGCACACTGGATGCTGCAGGGAGGCAGGGTGAGTACCACTGACTTTAGCAATAGAAACCCTCCTGGATGAGCCAAAGCTGAGCCAGATCTAAGGGAGTATTAGACAGCAGCCACGGCGCTCCAAGCTGGAGAGGTGGCCTTTACAATGGAGGGTTGCAGCAGCCACCATGTCTTCCCATCTATACCACACTTTCATAGGCTGTCTCCACTTTACAACAAAGAGAACTGAGGCTCAGTCAGAAAATGACTGTCCGAAGGTAACCAGTCTCACACTCCAGGGCTGCCGTGAGCCATTTCCCTGTCTCCTTGCACACTCCCATCAGAAAACATCACAGCACTTAACACTCCACCAGTCCAGCAATCGCCATGGTTTACTTGGCCTCCACTGTGTGCCCTAATTTAATGTTACCTCACTTAATACATGTCACCTCACTTCATCCTTATCATGGCCCTTCCCAATAGGCATTATTAACCTTACTTTTCAGATATGAACACGGGCTCAGAGAGGCTAAGTAACTTGTTGTAAGTCACCCAGAAAATGCCAGAATTAGAATCTGAACCCAAAGTGCAGGCTCTTCCTGGACATCAGACAGACTCTGGCAGGTGACATTGGCTGTAGCTGGGCTTCGCTGTGCATAGCTCCTCTCCCACGTCCCTGTGGAGGCCTCTGAATCCTGGGTCTAATGCTTTTTGCATCACTTCCCCAACCCAGCTGCTCTGGAATGATTGCCCAGCACAGAGCTGAACTCAGAGCAGGCCCTCCACAAACACTCGACACCTCAAAGAGCAGAGCCCACCAAGGTGAAATTCCTGTGTAGGGAAGACTCCCCACTGTGTGCACTGCAGCAAAGGGCCAGCGCCCTGCCCCTCATGGCTCTGTAGCCACTCACCTGCATGCTAGCATGCTGGAGCTGTGGCATTTCGTGAGAGCTTGGCAAATAAGCAAGAAAGCAGAGATAAGAAAATGACACGCAAGAGTGGGAAGAGACAGTCATACCAAAGCCATGAGTAATGACAGTGGTAGAGTAACCCAAGCAGCATTTAAATGCAAAAATCACATCAGTATTTTGTCTGTTCAACATCAGAGGGTCCTGGGGGTTTTGCCTGGTGGTTCTCAGTTAAGTATAACATGAATACAATTACACAAATAGGCCAGGCATGGTGGCTTATGCCTGTAATCCCGCCACTTTGGGAGGCCGAGGTGGGCAGATCAGTTGAGGTCAGGCATTTGAGACAAGCCTAGCCAACATAATAAAACCCCATCTCTATTAAAAATACAAAAATTAGCCAGGTGTGGTGACGGGCACCTGTAATCCCCAGCTACTTGGAAGGCTGAGGCAGGAGAATCACTTGAACCCAGGAGGCGGAGATTGCAGTGAGCTGAGATTGCACCACTGTACTCTGGCCTGGGTGACAAAGGAAGACTCCATTTCAAAAACAACAAAGTAATTCTCACTAAAATAACAACAAAGATTAACTTACACATATACCTGTATAGATCTACATCAATTCAACAACATTTCACTTTTGCCAAATATAAACATCTTAATACCAAAACAGAAAAAGGTGACTCTCAAGAGATGGCTCTAACTTTGGGAAATATCATGTGGGGTCTGCAGATGTCTCTTCTCATGCCACCCTGGGGTGGGACTCTGGGCTCTCACAGTCGGTTAATGTGTTGCCCACCCCTCAGTTCCTCTTTCTTCTGCTGCCTGCCTTTCATACACCACCAGGAGCTCAGCACTTCACGCACAACAGGAATTGCCTAAATATATATGGCTGATGCTCAGCCACCCAGATACATGAGGAACCAAGCCATAACATTTCAGTAAAAACAAAAAGGAACAGCTTGTAGATCTTCCTTGTGACAAGAAATCAATCCATCTGGGGTTGACTTCTTGACAGTTCTCTGAATTGATCATGGTCTCACTCTTCCATCAAGATACGAGTATGGATAAGGAGATTCTGCCTAGGATATATAAAACTGGGGAAAGTGTTAATTCCGTCCTAACAAGAAAAAGACTGACAATCTAAAAGAACTTTTCTTAAAGCAGAGAGATGAAGTCACAAAGCAACCAGTAGACTGGTTTTCCCATCTATACCACATGTTTTCCCATTTTCTAAGGGAAAATACCACATTGTCTTTCCTTTTCTAAGGAAAGACAGACACTTCTGAGGAAAACGGAAAGTAAGCATCAGCTGTGGGTCACCTATGGTAAAGCATGTGGAGAAGAGATAACAAGTGCCATACAAGTGGGCAAGTTAGTTTTAACAAACTGCTGGAGACCAAGTGTAGACTAGGGTAAGAGTGCAGAACCCCCAGGTGCCATAGACACAAGCAGAGCTTGCACCCATGCACAGGTTCTTCTCCACAGACCTCCACTGGGCTTTCATGACTAAAGATGGGGCAGGGCAGCAGATGGAAGAAAACCATCCTTGGAGGTGCAGGCCTAGAGGAGGGGAGTGAGCAAGAAAAGGTATGAAGCCCTGCCAGGACCTCTCCCCTGTAGAACAGCATCCTTAAGCTACTAGGGAAAAGCAAAGATAAAAATACCTTCTCCCTTGAGGGAGAGGCAGGGAACTATCCTGAGCTGAGGTTATCAAGGTCTCCTTTGAATAAGGGAGGAGCAGGACCACTAAGAATATCCCACTTTTGAGATCCAGGGAGACAGAGTCTGCCTAAGACGAAAGCTGGGTCAACACAACAGAGTCATCCCCCCTAAAAAAACTAGCAAGCACCAAGCAATAAGCAATAGCAGCCTATCTAGGGAGGAGGGCCAAGAGCATGGAAAAAAGCATGCCCCTCTGAGGGGCACACCCACAGGGCAGGCTGAAAGGTGAGAAGAAGATGATTGAGGTACATTAGATAACACTAAACTAAGCTCAACTCCTG